CTCTCTCTCTCTCTCTCTCTCTCTCTCTCTCTCTCTCTCTCTCTCTCCCTCTCTCTCCGTCAGAAGAAGGCAGACACTTTAGCGCTGATAGCTTTAGCGATGATTTTAATAATCACCTTCAGCAATACACAAAAGATAAAGGAACCAACTTAATTAGATCATGTAGTCCAACTGTAGGCGTTCACTTATTCACTTTAAGGTTAACCCTTGTTCTCGGCTTTACTATTTTTATACTCGAAATGTCGTATTGGAAAAATGGGAAAAAGGTGTTGGGTAAAAATCGAATTAAACTGACTTGAACGCATAAACACTACATTTTACATTTTACGCGGGGAATGTTATGTCCATTCCTGTATCTCTGTGTGTAAGCAAAATGGAAGCTCCTTATTAGTTATTAGAGTAATGTTTAATGAAATGATATATGAAAAACGACTGATTATTACTTACGCAAATGTAAACACATTGTCAAAGGTTTTTGGTCACTTTTAAAATTGAAAAGTTTGTGTAAAGGCTACCGTTCGTTTCTTTTGAGAATTCATGAAAAATTTCAATTATAAAGTGAAAGACTTAAGTAAAAAACTTTATTAAAAATGAACATTGTTTTTACCTTTTTATCGATTGTTCTCGACTAACCACAAGTGTACATTGACCGCACAATTATGTGTTTATCTTATTGTTCGCTTTTTAAACATGTTTACTTTTCGAATAAATTGAACAGTTGTGTCCTTGAAACTCCTGACCAACACTTGGGCACAGACGATAAGGTTGCGGTTATTGTTGATTCATACTCACAATATTTACACCGATGTAATGCGTAAAACCACAATCAGTTTGTTTTTATTTTTTCTCTTAATTTTCGTTGTACTGTTAACCTAACCACTTTGTAAACAACTTGCGCTTAGATATATTCATACGTATATACAATGGGGTATAAAAAAGTTATTGCGTATCGTATGTATTTAAAAACATATTTTCTGCTTGATTGCTGCAGGTTTTCACAATTAAATAAGAGACCGTTTGCTTTTCGGTTGGCCAAAGTAAAAGCAACGGTATTTAACAAATATAAACATAATCCGAATATAAGTAAAGTATGTTTGGAGCAAAGTTTTTCACTCTCCCCGTAAGCATGGTCTTTCTTCTGACCAGTCAGAAAATTATACCGCAGCCAGTAAATTGCTAGTACGTGCTGCACCTTTTCTTTTATATTATGTCCTCTTAATATTTGGTCTTCCTTTGGCCGTAGCAGACCTTTGCAACAATGTTCTCTATCCAGAAATATTATGTTTTTCTGATAACTTCAAACTGTTTGTTGTGTTAGTATAGTTGTTTTCATTTTTTTTTTTTCCTTTAAAACTTTTTCAATAACCGAAAATCGAATCGTTTGTGTATGTGTGCATATTTTTGTATAGATTGGTTAGATGTTCGATGTGCGTTAAGCAGTCATCATCGTCCACATCATCGCTGGTAATTGCATTGAAAATTATCGATAATGATCAATCAATTCTGTTGAAGCGATTTGACCTTTTGCGTATAAAGAATCTTTAATATTAAGAACTGCATAAATCTTTTTTTTTTTTTTTTTTTTTTAAAGAATTTCTTATGAAATACTTAATAAAAAGTGAAAGTTCTTAGCGAGCGTATAGCTAACTGTATACGCAGTGTACTGGTTAAGCATGAAAGTGATAGATATAACAAGAGCCTGGAAATTGCAATACCTTTCAATGATATGGCATTACAAGAATGAAATGAAATGAAAATTTTAATTAATGCATGCTTTAATGCGGTTAAGCTTGACGAAATGAAAGGAAATTTCCAAAGACGACTGACTGACTATAAAATCGAAAACATTTCTTCATTTCTAAGATATTTTGGATATCTTGAGTGGAAGTACAAACTATTCTTCTAAGATCCTTTACATACATTTTACTCCATGGATGTTTGATAACATCTCGCAAGACCTATAGATAAGTGGGCTATAGATAGCTTTCTCGATTTCGATTGAGGTATGTTGTGGCAAGTGATTTTTTGAAAATCTACCTTCGCACTGGCTTAACACTACTTCAACAATATTTCTTTATGGATTTTATTGCCAATGAGTGTTTAACAATGCCAGATCTTGGCTATATAGTGTTGACGCGTTACAACATTCTAGCCGCCCTCGTTCAATTATTAAGAAGATCTTAAATGGGTTATAACGCATTGTGTGCATTGTTTTTCTAAATTTAATTTAAAAGCAAGCAAAAATAAGCTAAGCCCGATTTTCTTTTACCCGTCAACTTTGTCTTTCAAAGTTGAAAAAAAAGAAAACTTGAAAGGAAATTGAAATTATATTTTAACAGTGTTTAATACGCGATAATTTTTATTACGTTATGTTTATTGGATCGCTCGTCCTTTGCTTGATTTTCACTCATTTGCAAGGCAAACTTGTCTGCAAGAACTAATCATCTTAGAAATAGCTTCATATTTAGGACGGGACGCTTATGGGTCAAGCGTAGTGAGTGTCGCAGGATTTGCTCGAAAAAGTCATTTCAAACGAAAAAAAGCGCTTATTTCGTTTGTTGTCTTGGATAAATCTTTTTCCCAATAGAATAGAAAGTGAAGAAACTAAGGAACAAATGGTTGGTGGCCTTTCTAGATATGGTTTCTGGAAAAACGAATGGAAAGCTTCAGCTTTTGTTCTATTTTTATTTCAAAATGTCGCCACTGTAAAGTTGAATTTCAACATTGTTATGGGCGTGGCAGGATTATGTTCCAACTTTTTCCATTATTCATATGCCAATTAAAATTCGAAAGTTTCTTATAAGAATCTCTTGAGTATACGCACCACGGTAAGATGAGGGTATAGTCAGAAGATACGGTCCGATACGGAATTAATATTTTCTTTATTGCACCCAACGCAAGTAGTATGTTAATTACATTATATATATATATTTGGATGACATCGATATTACTTCAAATATATATAACGGGTAGGAGTGTGCAATGGAACGCTAGCAAATATGTGTAGGGGTATAACTGTAAGTATAGCAATATCATGTATATATCTGTTTGTCTGTCAGTTTGTCGATCTGTTCCAACCAAGATTGATATTATACAAGTTTCTCGAGAAGAACAGCTTTACTCTTAGCTTCGAAAAGCCCAGCGATTATATAATTATCTAACTACTATTGTTAAACTGTAAAAAAAAGTAAATTTTGAAATGTATACGGTATTCGATGAACATATGATGAACATGGAGCAAGAGGACTTCTAAAGCGTTTTGCAACCAAAATGGCGGACAAGGTTCGGACAATGTTCGACTCAGCGAATGTATCACCTCTTTCTGGTTATCATTATATATGTCATGGGATAATAATAAGTAGGCATGAATGTATAACGCAAATACAAAAACAAAAAAATTTGTACATATGCACATCTTGCGATCGAAAAAGTAGGTGGTAACTGCCTTTTCTATTCATGGTGCACATACACTATGGAGGACACCCTTAATTATAGTTTATAAAGGGCGCAAGATGCAGGCGACAATTCGTTAATAATATGAACGCATAAAAATATGAAAACATTTTATTAGCAAAAAAAAAAAAAGAAAAAAAAAAACAAATAACACTAAACATCTAATCGTAAATTATTAAGCTAACCCTTAATTGTACTTTGATTTATGTATAAAGCAAAACACAAACGTGAATGTAAAACTATTTTCCAAGACATCATTAAATATATTTCATGTATTTTTCATACATAGTTGCAGTCCCGAAAGGTGTTTCGAATTTATTAAATTTCATCTTAGCAATAGCAAGAGAATCAACAGCTAATAGAATGCTGGGCATTGTGAAATGCCTGGTCGTCGGTAAATAACTGATTCGGGAAAAATCGAACCTGTAAAATTTGTACTCACGTTAAGGTATCTTAGCTTAGGATGCTCATGCTAAATTCCTCATTTCGTCTGCAAAGCATCCTCTACTCTCACATGCAGGAATTTGCTATTCTTGAGGTGCATCAAGTAAAAAAAAAATCTAACTAACTAACTAGAGAACCAGTTCCTTTAATGCTTTTGATCAGTGCGATATTTTGTATCTTTTACGACTGTGACGTGAAACTGAAACTTACTTCATGCGTTTTGAGGTGAATTTCGTACACCAAGTACGGATATTACAATGCATTCGCAATCGCGAAAGCCACAATTTCGGGGAAAAAATCAGCAGAAAATGGTACAATATGTTGCGTAAACATTAACATATTATTTATAGGATACGTTGAGTTTGTGTTTTGTGTGATCAGCTCATGCTAATGCACAACTTATTTATATATCTTGTTGTGCAATGCTTAGAAGCACGCTTGAAATAATGCAATAATGCACAACGTAACTATATTTACGAGCAGATTTGGGAAATTCAGTCAATTCGGTCAATTCGGTCATTTTCGGTCATGAAGCGAACCTTGGCGTTTTACCTGAGCAAAATCCAAAATTGAGTCTACTGTCGTAGCATTTTATGTAGCTCATGCAGCAGGCAGGCAATTATTGTAGTACACCTCATATGGCACATAGACCAGGCTGCAATTTACATACTTAAAGGCAGTTCTAAACAAGCTCCGCGATATTCTTCAGTGCGAACTCAAATATAGATAACAATTATTAGCATAGTTTATATATATATATATATATATGCTGCCGCCCCCGAAATCCACGAGAAAGTATTATAGAATAGCAAATATTGTTATTATGCGTACCTCATATGTCAGTTATGAACTTTTGATGTAGTAACCAGACGAAGCCAAGGTTACGAACCATTAGTTTCGGCTTACAAGGAATGTACTAATAATGATGATGACTTACAATATATTAAGGAGGCGAAAGATATTTTCTTCTTCTTTGTTATAGCTTTAGAAATTACCATTAATCACTGTAGAGTATTTGCTTTGATGCTTTGTGGCGATTCTGAGATATAAATTTTACTTTTCCCTTTGGTCGGATTAAGATTTTCTTTTTCTCTCCATTACCCTTGAGTCCAATTACTTTTCTCTTCGCCTCTTCTTTTGGTCTTAAACATATCTTACTTTTAAGTTTTTCCTTTTCAAGATCCTTCTTTTACTTGACTTTCTTTATGAATATATGGTCCTGTGTTTCTTATATATTTTTTTTTTTTTTGAGTTTTAATTGCTACCGTTTCTTCTTTAGCCTGTTTCTCGGCTGTGACCTTAGCGGCGTCCTCATTCAATCTAGCTAACTAACTGTGTTATCGTCTTTAAAAGTTTTATTAAACCACTTGAAGCCTCTATGCATTTCATTACTTGCAATTTTAGAGGTGTGCATAGTCTCGTCCTGCATGGCTTGTTGAAAGCTGTTGGAAACGAAAACTGCTGAATATACAGAATCGCGGTTAGGGACGTTTAGGGCACACTCTTAAAGTCTCGACAAACTTTTTTCTAATTCTAAAGCGTCGTTCATATCGTCACGTGGCGGAACTACACGGTTCGCCATACCTATTATATAAGCTTCCTCAGCACGTACTTCCCGTCCAGTCAGAATTAAATCAAGAGAACGCGATAGCCCAATCCTAGCTGGAAGACGGGCAGTACCATCATCTATTACAGGTAAGCCGTATCGATGATTAAAAAAACTCAACACTGCAGACTGTTCCATAACTCGTAAATCGCACATTAATGACAACTCCAAACCATTGGCCATGCATTCAACTTGAATGCCACACACTACAGGTTTGCAGAATTGGCGTCGTGTGGCCCCCACAGATCCTTCAGGCATCATAAGGATTTCCGTGTTGATAGTACTTTCGGGTTCATTGGTCATTTCATTGGTATATCGAAACCAGAACAACATGAATTTCATTCAATAACTTGCTATAAGCGACGCATCATCCTTCTGAAAAGCATTAAATGCGTCACAAAGTCTAGCAGCAGTTTGTGTGTCTATTATAGGATAGAGTTGCTGGGGCCGATTAACACTAATTGCAGTAATTTTTTTCTCTCTTTTTACTAAAACTGTGTCTTGTTTGATGGACTTGAACTCTACATTTTTCTTACAGTCGTGCTCTTTAAAGATACATTTTGCCGAACTGATTTTACGAGTTATTTGCGAGACCTTTGCCTCAGTCATTATGTTTTGCAGATCTTTTTTTTTTTTGTCCTTATAAACTTCGTTATACAAGAAAGAAAAAAAAAAAGAAAAAAAGAAAAAATTTAAAAAATTCAAAAGTACCAACTACGGCGCCGTTCATGTAATCACTTAGTTCATTAAAAGCTAATCAATTCGTTACCTCTTACCGATACAGCTCACGGTACGATGCGGTCTCTGCTATAAATATTTATCAGTAGTTTTGGTCGGTGAAGCGCTCACAGCAATGCAATACGCAACGATCGTTGAAGAGTTTAAGTCACTACTTTTAACCTTGTGTTTTTGATAGATATGCTATTTCAGATTTGTTCATTCATTGTACACAAATGCATAAATATATCTAACGTCTACCGTGTCAAGGAATTTTTTTTATCCTAAGCATACAATGAGTTGAGTTTCAAGTCACTTACATTATGTGATAGTAAATAGAGGAGAGACATTATTGCTTTGCCATATATATTTTTTCGTTTGTTTGTTTGAAAAAATTTATACTCAACAAAATTCGAAAGCGTTTCTAAAATTTTTGTTTTCATTGCCTTTTGAAATCCCCATCTCCGAGACCATTGATATAAAGATGCAAAAAATTAATTTCAAGTTAAAATCGTTCAATTCTGTAAGTAAGTCGGCTTCGTCAACGATATATTCGCGATCCCCATCGCTGCAAGCCGATCATAACAATCCTCCTAACAATCCAAGTCAATCCGATGAAAGTCACGTGCAACCAAGAGATGAATGCTTTTGCTATCCAGAGCTTAGCAGCAATCGGAATTCACAAGAATATCAAAGTTTACAAAGTCTAGAGGAATATGTGAGCTTATCATCGACCACTTCCACAGCTATCAGCACTGACAATCACAGCCGCTCTAGCAGCAATGCGCAAGCAAATACATCTTCAGGTTTAAATTCGCGTTTGGGGGAAACGTCAACATGTTACGCATCCGCTGCCTCCAATACGTTAATAGTCCTTAAGTCACCTACGTATATAAGGACGTCTAGCGGTTTGCAAGTTTCAGAAAATTATCCTTTTACGTATGCCACATATGACAGTCTAATGAATGTGCCGCCTTTAGATAAAGTGTCGTTAAATTGCTGTGAAAAATGTTCCAAATACGATCTCCTTAGCGATGACACGCACAAAATATGTTTGCAAATAAGTAAAATCTTTGGTGAACATTTGCAACATGCTAACAATGATGCAAAGAATAAAAGCGAGGTAATTTAAAAATATATTTTAAAAAAAAAAAAAAAAAAAAAAAAAAAAAAAAATCAAACCAAAAAATGACATAAATAAATAAAAGGGAAATAATTGATTTTTTTTTTTTTTTTTTTTTTTTTTTTAGCTGAAGCGGTTATCTTTTGAGGATTCGGTTGTCATTAATTTAGAGAAATTGGAAGCGGAGGTAAGCGAACGTTTAGAACGTTTGCGACGCAAAATCAATATCGATCATCGACCGGGCAAAAAGGATGAATTGCTAAAGTATCGTAAAAATATCCATTCATTTATTAAAGTAGCTTACCGCGAAGAGAAGTTTGACGTTCACGGTTTATCATATGAAGGCAAATCGCACAAGCAAATGTTCGATTTGATCGATGCAAGCATGCAAACGAACTCACAGTCGCAAATGTACGTCTTGAGTGACTCGTCGATGCAAGAACGATCTCATTCTCGAACCTTCGATGTCGATGACTCGAAGAAAGAGAATTTGAACGTGAACAATGGAAAAGCCGATATTAAAGTAAATGTAATTCTATTATCAATTTAATCTGTTTCTAAACCGGTCTCTTTCTCTTTTCTCTCGTTCTCCCTCGTATACAGATGGCTGATGTGGAAGAAAAGCACGAGGTGCGTCAAATAGTGATAGTGTAGTTCTTAGACAGAGTGACAGGAATATAGAAATTTCTGAAAATTTTATATGATACACAAGTGATATAGGGTGTGTGAAGAAAGAAAAGAGATAGTAATAAAATATTTGGCAGATGACAGATGAATGAAAGATAAGAAGAAGAAGAAGAACATTATAAGGCCATATGTCGATGGGGCTAACGGTTAGGAAGAATGCGATGGTAGTGAAGCGAATGTTAAGCACAGTCATCGGCTAAGTATATAGCATATGAGAATAATTAGATTTATAAGGTGCTACAAGAAGTAAGGGAAAGGGATCGACGATAGAGATTATATGTGGAGAACATATGGGCATAGAATTGTAAAGAAAATCACTGTATTGACCGACAATATCCTCAATCTTGTACATTATATATTAAACGAGTTTCTTTTTGATTCTTTTCCACGCATTCATTTACGTGAAGCTTGATGACGCACCAGTCGATATTTCGAGAAGGCAAGATGAAATTGAAGAGCTTAAGAAACAGCTCGCTCGCATGGAGTTGGAAATGCAGCAAAAGTTTCAGCATAACAATGAGATGGTGAAAGAGTTACGCGATGATCTGAATAATGCAGTTTTTAAAGTGACCAAGTCAGACCTACATTCATTTTTACTTCGTACTTTAAAATTTTTTTCAGGAAAATTTTGAAAATTTTAATAGGAAAAGAATAATATCCAATAAAAAGATAAAAAAAAAAAAAAAAAAAATTTAGATTCGGTGTCAAAAAATTCATAAACTAAAATATCCAATTGCAAATCTAAACTATATGAAGAAATTAGGATTAAGTCAAGTCGCAAATTTTGCTGTTTCGCTAATCTAACTTATCATAGTAAGCCATTCGTTGCTATTGGTCCGGCAGAGTAATATACAAAAAAAGATCAATGAGTAAAAAGCGATTTTAAAAACGAATAAACTTTTTTATTAATCCCCCCCGGGGTTTCTATTTACCATTTCAAAATCGAGTTGTCTCCGATTTGCTCACAATCTGAGAGTCTTACACTGAAAAGAATTTCGTTCGACTCTATGAATTTTCTATATGAAAAAGCGTTCAATTAGAATGCCAATGAACGAAGCATGTATGTTGACGAGACTTCCTTTCGTTCTAGTGGTGGCTTAAATGTCGAACATTCACGAAAATGTTAAAGGAAACGTGTATATCGCAAACGTGTATAAGTTATTGATTTTTTAGTTTAATGCATATTTTGATCAATGGTTTAGGAATGAAGGTCGAATAGCACAGCTTTTTGGCTGTAAGTGTAAATATTGTCTAAAGAAACGAGTAAGAAAATTACCGTCGTCGCCGTCGTGGCCGAATCTTTTATACTCATCAAGGTTATCCTAAACGAGACATAAATAATGAAAACTAAATTTTCATGCTTTATAATTTGGAGTGGGCAGGGCCGATTTTTTCTATTTGTCGCATAAGCGTGTCCTTCCCAACTCTTTTGCAAATTTATAGGCAATTTCTTCATTTTCGCTAACGGGAGAATATTTACCACGGATACTACACAGTTGTGCAGGCAGACGAAAGCTTCCTGAGCTCTCCTTCTGGGTGTTACAAACATTTTGATAAAATGAATATACCCCTTAATGCGTCGGTGATGGGCATAACAACATACGGAACGATTGGTTTAAATTGATTGCCAAAACTACTTGATAAGGTGGTAAAGTAACTTAAACGGATACCGTAAATACCTTTTGATCCTCATCTCAATAAGAAATATGCAAAATTTCTGAACTTTTTAATGTGCTACTTAACATGAGGTACGTTGTGCTTAAGTTTGTGAAGAATTCTCAATGACTTTTACCTGTATTGCGATGCGTAAGACATCTTGCACAATTAAATGGAGTCAATTTAATTTTCTTGACTTTCATGGCAAATTAATTTAATTATCTTATATTTTCAACGTTTCAATCAAGCATTAAATGCCAGGGCAACTAACGATTAAAATATTTAATTATTTAAGCAATGTACGAACGCGAAACACTGTCGGATTCAAACGTTGCCGCCATATTTTATCTTACACTGCTTCTCATATAAGGTATGTTAAGTTTGTGTGGATTTGTACAACACCTAGAAGGACTTGACGTAGGCTCACCATTTTATAAGCTGACAGATTCAGAATCACTTTCTGAATCAATTTCAGCTTGTCTGCCCGTCCGCCTGTCCGTTCTTACTTTCCTCACATAAATCATTATATGTATAGGTGTATAAGCAAAGAACTAGCGTAGGGTATTTAACATTTTTAGTTGTTTTTAAATATCATTTAAATATTCAGAAGTATATAATATTGTATATAACATCCGCACCTGCATTAATATTTTATACACAACGTACAATTCGTAACCATTAATTAGATATTTATTTGGATGATATAATAAGTATCTGTTCATATATATACAAACAACAATAATTCCTAATAGACGGTTATTGATATAATTTCATTTATTGAGACCGGTGGCCATAGTTAGGTTTATTAAAAATTTTAAAGAATTTAAATTTTTGCAATCATCAGTTTTGCATTGGTCAGCTGTCTATGTGAAGATGTCAATAGCCATTCTTTAGGCTCAGCAACCAAGGGAACACCTATTTTAACTTTCTATAGCCTAGAATTAACGAAATATCATCAACAGTCTATTACTTTATACGGATAAAGTATATTGTGCATACATTACAAGATATGTATACATGTATCTATATGATGTAAATATCGGCAATTATATTTTTTAAAGATCCAAAAAAAAAAAAGCACCCAACAGCAGAAGTTTTGCTTTACATCCGATCTTAAAGT